ACAATCATAATTTTGGATCGTTTAGTTAGGAAAATAGATCCACGAAAAGAACGTTTTGATTTTCTTTGGCACATAGTGGCGACTAAAGGAAGTGGTGGGGAGTAGAAGGGTTGGTTAGCGAGCATCTAGCAGATCTGGTAACACCGGCGTTAGTCTGCATCTATCTGTACTATTCATTTTCTTTCCACATATGCATACGGCCTTGGACAGGCACAATTGAAAGTTTTCTCCCTCTGGCGGGAGTAAGGTATCGCCACCGAGTCGAGCGCCGCGACGGAATTGAACTTTTGGACGGTATTATCGTGAGAGTACTATCTTAAACAAAACAATAATTTTTAATTATTATTATTATTATTATTATTATCATTATTATCATTATTATTATTATTGTTATCATTATTATCATCATCATCATTATTATTATTATTATTATACAAATGTTAAATCATAATATGAAAATTTTTCAAAGCTCATTGTGCCATAAAATTATATATTGACTCGACAATTATTTATTTTTTTACAGTAATTTCAATAAAAAAGGCTTGTTATTGTTAGCCATCGCCGTCTCTCACGTTGTTTCCCTTTTCAATTGCGAGGCCGGAAGTACGCGTCAGAAAATACTTTTTCAGTGAAAGACTCACGCGTGTTTTTACGCTCGATGCAAATCACACGCTAATTAGACGACGTCGTCGGAATGCCGGAGTGTATGCGAAAGGGAAGACGAGTCAAGTGGAAAAAGACACCTAACTATATTTTTCATCTACAAGAGCATTCCACATCGCCGGGATATCTACGAGATAAATAATGATCCACGGGTGTCGCGAGAATTTCTATGCTAATATACCGATCGTTAGACGGCGGTAGTCAATGTGTTTGCGAATACTTGAAGAAAAGCTAAAAAGGAACGAAGAAAGAAAGGGAAACTCCGTCTACCCGTCGTATTTATATTTACGTGAATATTTTACTGACGTTTATTAAAAAAAAAAAAGGAGAAAAAAATTCGACGTGTAATATACTCCCGAATCCCGATGCACCGTTGGATTATTCATGTTCTTTTCTACTAATGTAAATTAATCTCATTTAACTTATCTTGCATCTTTCCTTACTTATATTTATGTTTACCAATGTAGATTAACTATAATCCCGATTTAACTCTTACTTCTTTATCTTTTCCTTACTTCTTACGTCTATTTCTACCAATGTAGATCAATTGAAATCTCGGTTTAATACGTATAAATACTTTTTTTCCTAATTCCTAAAATTAAAAAAGGATAATAAGTAAATTAAACCGAGATTAAAGTTGATTTACATTGGTAAAAATGAACACGAATATCTCAACTGTGTATATCGAGAGTATAATATATATATATATAAAATGCCAATTTCTTTTTTTCTTTTTTTTTTACGAGTCGATCACGTTTAACCAAACGTTCGGTAAACCTTCTTTCTTCCTTCCTTCCTTCCTTCCTTCCTTCTTTCCTGTTTGCTCTTATTAGAAAAAATCCGCGATACCCCGTTAATCGTTTAATCAGGCCAAAGAGCCTTTCATCAGCTTCTATTATCTCTCCTATATCAAGCGCGATTGCGAGAGAGATCCTGGATTCGAAACCAGTTCCATTCGACGCGACTACGCAAAGCCCGTACGTCTCCGCTCCTCACCGAGTTCAATGGCACTCGCCACACTTGGGCCACATTGTGTGTACGGGCATTTTTCTGAAGCGACGGCTCGTATATATACGCGAGGACAAAAGGTGTACTTGAATCCCCGCCCGTGTCTCTCGTTGCGAGACGCCACGTGTCTCTCGATTCTCGAACGGCGAACGTTGGTTCACTTATACCGCTATACGTTTCGAGAGACTCCTCCTCGACTATCCGTGTAATAGGAGCCGCCTCCTCTCGAGAGACTCGAGAGAGCACATACAAATGCGAGATGTTTTTTATTTATTTTACTTATCTGTATCTACTTTTTCCAAAGTCTCTCCATCCTCAATAAGACGCGCTCGGCTTCAAGTTACTGACGCGCAATCGGAACGATCGATGTGTCTGATACGTATTATCACGCCGAAACGCGCCGAGATTTATGCTGATTGCAGATCGTTCACCATTCAAGCGGTAACTATAAAGTATAACGGTAAACAGTGAACACCATCCGGCCGATCACCGCTATTTATGACAGTTTCATATTCTCCAACTGTCGCTGGAATAACATCCGCGCGGAAAATCGTAGTCTTAAACGCGAGCCTCTCTTGGAAGCTTCTCGTCGAAATTCTTCCCCATTCCTGGTCCATCAGTCCAGTCCATCTTTTATCGATCGAATTTTATTCGTATACTAGTATATTATACGAATATTGACGTAAAACTGGTGCGTAAGTCTGGGTGCGATAAAAGGAATGCGAAGGGACAGAATCCGTGATCTCTGCACTTTTTTGACATTTTTACTTGAGTGAGCTGCAGTTTATTGCGCTGGTACCTTGTAATATGGTTGTAATACACGATTCGTAAAGCACCCTGCAGCCTATATTAATTCAAAGCGACTTGAGAGCGGCAGAAAGAACGTTTCGTGTGCTTTCAGGATGAGCGTTAACCCAAACGCGCCGAGTACGAGCGGATAAACGCACGAGCCCCAGCGCAGGTATATACAAAGGTCGAATCCTCGGCCAAGGAAGGAGGGAAGCGATGGTGGTGGAGTGGCTATGCCCTGGACTCAGGCCGACCAGGAGCAACCGGCCCCGTCTTTTGCATTGCAAGGTGATTCTCCTGGACGAGCACGAATTGCTGCAGGATATCCTGGTAAGTTCGGGCCACGATCTTCCTTCGACCTTCTCCCAACTTTTCCACCTACTATTGACCGTCCTTTCCTCATCATTGATTCTCTCTCTCTCCAGAGACGCAGGACGACTGCCGGTCCACGCGCGCGCGATATCGTTCTCCTCTATCGAGAGTAGCGATTCAGCGTATTCGCGAGTTGTTGGTCGCGGATGAAGGTACTCGTATATGATGCGGCAAAGGGTAAATCCTTTCACCCTATCCCGTAATTCGTGCGCGTAGCCGAGTTGTAATTTAGCAAATTAATAGCACATTTTCTTTCCCAGTCCGGATTTCTGGACGGTTGTTTCGGTGCCCTCGGACCACTCGTGGTGCCCGCCGGCACCGTGCCACGGTGGGTTATGCCCGGTTATGGCCGACTGTCGGCGGCTCCGCGCACGAGAGGAGGCGCGTACATATCTCAGGGGGGTATACCCGGAATTCCTTCGGTCTTCTCTGTTATTAGACGATATGCCAAAATTGGCGGTGGGCCACCGTGGGCCACGCCGGCCACGACGGTGGTAACGCCGTACCTCCTCCGCATCGCCAACCGCCGACGGCCGTGCCGCACACTAATTCTCGCGTCTTTTCAACCTACCCGTTTCCCTTTCCCCCCTTCTTTCTTTTTTCTTCCTCTCGGAATCTCTCTCTCTCTCTCTTTCTTTCTCTTTCCCTCTTATCCTCTCGCCGCTTCCCTTTCACCGTCTAGCTCATTTTGTCGATTAACATTCCGGACCTGTATAAGCACGAATCTCTCATTGTGTGTATCGCATATACGTGTAACGCCCGTAAGGCTGAACGCAAATCGAAATTCAGTAGGGCGTGTTAAAAACGAGAAGATTTTGTTCCTCGAGAAGGGATATCGAACGTTGAGCTGATCCCCAACGATTATGCCGGATCGCGAATATAGTATCCAAATATTCGTGAATTTTTTGGCAAATACACTCAACACACGTACGCGAAGCAACGATATACGTGCACTATACGCTCAAGAAGAAACGACAACGTTGGAAAACTGCCGTTTCAAGAAATATCGTAGGGGAACGTATATTAGAAACGATGATCCAATATCCTGGCGTGATGAAACGATGGATGAAAGTAGGAAAAAAAAGGTCGTTACAAAATATCGAAGATGCAACCGAGAAATACGAAGGGGGGAAACGATCCCGTTGATAAAGTGCGCGATATGCATAGGCAGTATCGTTACACCGGTATCCAAATCCGTATATCTTTCCGGTTTTATACCAGTTTTATATCAGTCGTAGTGCCAGTCTTCCCGTATAATATTGCGGCATAATAGCGCGAAAGAATGACCATACGTCAAGATAGTGCGACCAGAATAAACGTGTGTGTAACTGTTTCTTTCTTCTTCTTTTCCTTTCCAGCAGGATCGGATACCCCGCGTCGTTCCATCGTCGCGGTAGCAATTTCAATGGGATTAGCATAAGGCATCGAAATTCTGCGATACGGAGAACGGATTCCCCGAGAATCGACGAGAATTTTCATTCGAGACATCTGCTGGACACCCTATCCTCAAATTTATCCTCAACGTCAACGTAACCCTGTAAACTGACCTTGGTCTAATAGAAACTCGCGAGGTATCAATCCCGTTGATAATCGCAGCTCTTATCTCCGGGAGGAAAGAAACCAAAAACAAAAAAGAAAACCAACAGACAAAATGCACCCTCGTTTGCGTTGGAATTCCTCGAATTCTTGTAACATTACCGTCTCGCACCGTCGAGATCACCTTGTTTCTTCGACGTCCAATTACACAAATGGCGCTTAGTGCCCGCCGCGGGCGGTATAACATTTCTCTCTTTTTCCTTTTCTCCTGTCACGATCTGTTGCTACACTTTTCATTGACGTTACCGTACCTGGTCACGATATACCCGGAGGCATAAATGAATCTTCTGTACAAAGCGGCGACGTTAGCTGGTTGCTGGTCACCGTTTCTTTTCTCTCTCGCGATGTATCGTTTGCCAAGGACGTGATTCCTATTTTTGCGACTATTCTTCTTCCTGTCTTGCGGAATCTACGTTTTCCGCTTTCCTTTATACATATCTGCATGGTTTCGCGTCTTCGACAATGAGAGAATAGTCGATCGCCCGGCCAAAGAGGCCCTGATATTCCGAGCGATTTATCGCGAAGCAATCTTTCTCGGAGCTGGTCTTCGCTGGGTCCAGTCAATCCCCGGTTGGTGTTTCGATTCCCACAACGAGCTCTAGGCGGGAAAGATTAGAATGCCTAAATAAATGTTTAAATTACACCGTACATGAAAAATGAAAGAATACTCACTGGAATAATCGACCGAAAGAGAGAGAGAGAGAGAGAGAGAGAGAGAGAGAGAGAGAGAGAGAGAGAGAGAAAGAGAGAAATAAAGAAGGAATGAACAAAAAAAGGACAAGGATCGTTCGGAACACGCAAGTTGGAGATGATTACCCATCTTCTGAACCTATACTCGACTCTTCTAAGCCTTAGGCGAAAGAAAAAGGGCGAGGTCTTTCGTCTTCTTCTCCTCCTTCTTCCGTCTCTTCCATCGCTCTCCTCGGCGATTTCTCTCGCTGTATTCTTAAACGTCTGCCACTTTCATTACGCCGCACGTATTTCGCGTTTCCTTTCGTTTATCGACTCGTCCGGTCTAATCTCTATCGATCGCTTCCATCACTGCACTTTGCGTTTGCGGAAAAAAAAAAAAAAAAAAAAAAGAGGACACATTTACGCGTTAGATTCATGTATTCGCTTCTATAGCGTCGCGTATCGTCGAAACGCGTAAATCACGGAACGAAATGGGAAGATAATAACACGCGTGTAAAACCTAACGATGAAAAACACCATCCATTCGAGAGATCCCGTTTGTTTCCCTCGGGGAGGAAACAAACGAATGAACGTCACGGTTCGCAACACCAGTGGGAAACCGTCCTTCTGATTTTAATCTCACCCGGGTGATTTAACCGGCGTGCAACAAGCACTCTCTCGCACTTGTATAAAATCCGAAGAGTTAATAATGCATTTTATTACGTATATACGTACTTAACTTCGGTGCTGGTATTGTAAGTACGTGTAACGTTTTCCAGAGCTCGAACCTGGGCCAGGAATTGTTGGATAGAGTGTTCAAGCACCTTAACTTGCTGGAAACTTCTTATTTCGGGTTACGCTATCTCGATCACGGAAATCAGACGGTAGGATACAATTTATTTTATCTTTCAACCTTGCAACAAATTACTTTTCATTATGTCCAGCGACACAATTTCAGATCCGAGATCAAGATTTTGAATTTTGCGTTGTGCTAAAATATGTGAATATTCCTCATGTGAATAGTCCTCATGTTAAAATAATTTTCATCATAATTAAAGCTAAACATCATAATTATCACCACAATATATATATATATATGTACACATTTTAGCAATGGCTCGATCAAAGCAAAAAGCTCGGCAAGCAACTGAAGATTCATAAAGGAGATCCTGGATCGGACGTTCATACTCTCTACTTCGGTGTGAAATTCTACGCGGCGGATCCGTGCAAGCTCATTGAAGAAATTACCAGGTATTTTCCCGAATCTTCGTTCAAGGAGACATACGCTTCTATTTGAATAATTTTTTTTTAAATATTTATCTTCTTCAAAAGTATATTCTGTTACGCAATAACTTCCCTCGCACATACTTCTGCAATATTTAATTCAATTTACACCTCATCTTCTCCAGTTCTTGGAATCTAAAAAGAAAAAAAAAGAAGAGCGAGCCGAACCGAGATTAAAGTTAATTTGCCATTTTTGGCACATATGGAAACGGCTTTTCGATAACGACAGGATATATGTTTTGAATTGGCCCAAGAGTCGAGGAGAATATTGAGAAAAAACCGTCGCGAGAGTTCGTTCCGCAGCGGGCACGTTATGCGGATAATACGAACGATTTTTATTCGACGTCACGCTGCTGTGCAAACGATCCTTTCACGCTCGGCGTCTCGAAATTCCAGGAAATTCCAGGGACATCACGGTACATCGCGGACGCACGAGAATTCCACGTGCGTCGAATTTCTTGAGGCGCCCTTACGTACATACGTGCATGCACGCGCGCATACAATTCGTGGCTCGCGTCAGCGTTTCGCGGTGTCTCTTATCCGTGTCTCGTACTTCTACCGTTCCATACCTACCTTCTTGCATTCTGTGGCGCGCAAGGGATATAAACGCGTATAAAAATTATATTTTCCGCTCCGATGCTTTTCGGTACGCGCCTTGGCCTTGTCTTCTCTATTTAAGATCGCTTTAACGAAGAGCGAAGAAAGGGAGGTGGAGAAATCATTAGCATGCTTTCTGTCTTGTATTCCGCAGGTATCAATTCTTTCTCCAAATAAAGCAAGATATTCTGCAAGGAAGACTGCCCGTATCCTTTGATCTAGCCGCAGAATTGGGAGCCTACGTTGTCCAATGTAAGATATGTTACTTCTTACATCAAAGTGTATATTAAATGCACACACGCACACACACATACACACACGCGCGCGCGCGCGCGCTTCTCATTTATTATACACACTCGAATGCCATTCATCTTTGTAAAAAAAAAAAAAAAAAGCGAATAAAGTATTAAAATTACGTGAGAGAGGTAGCATTCGCAAATAGACGCAGAGAATATGAAAATTTACATATTTATGGCAAGATGCAGCTAAACGCGAGCAAACAGAACACACACCGGTGATCCACTCGTTATAGTTATCTGTTGGAGAGATTCAAAGTCATCATAAAAAAAAGGAGAAGGCAAACTGAAATACATCCGTGTTTGCATCTCATTGCCATCAAAAGAGACGAAATGAATATCCCCTTTTTTTCTATTCAACGATAATACACGTATATGGCGGAAATAAGCATAACGTCCGCGAAGGAGAGAAACAGCAACGGAAAATAGAGTGGTTTGAGAAAAAAACGTGCTTCTCTTCTCGCAGTGTTATCAGCAATATAAAATTGCGTTTTGGCAATACTTTTATCATCATTTATTTTATGCAGCAACGTATTTTCCGCAATACGATCTTTTATTTTCGAGCTTATCGAGACGATTTTGTATGAAGTAGTAGACGTAATCCCAAATCGATGCACATATTTCTCTCCACGCGATATAAGTAATTACTTTTCCGTTCACGTTCGAGAATAATGTGCTGTTATTTCAGCGGAACTTGGAGATTATGATCCTAGACGACACTCGCCCGGATACGTCACCGAATTTCGATTTCTCGCCAACCAAACCACGGAACTGGAGAATCGTATAGTAGAGATTCACAAAACTCTTATGTAAGTTAATCGGGATGTTTAATATTCGAATAACGTTAAAAAAAAACTATCCGATGCGTGTCTACGATGAAGTGTCTACATTGTAGCTATCCATAGTCTATAACTTATATCTCTGTATTTATAAAGTACTAATTTGAGTCCTTATAAAAAAATATTAGAAAATCGAGTCATGCAAAAATTCTAAAAGCGCCATATATCTTTTTGCGTTAGCGACGAGTTAAGCAATTGATATATTTATTTTATTATATTAGTGATATTTTATTTATAGTAAGTAGCAGAAAAATGTAAATTTAATTTTTGAATGTGCATATATTTGCGATTTTTTTTCAGAGGACAATTACCTTCAGCAGCGGAATTAAATTATTTGGATAAAGTAAAGTGGCTGGAAATGTACGGGGTAGATTTGCATCCCGTATTGGTACGTAAACGTATTATTGATGTCGACATGATTAATGCCGCGATTATGCATTAATCTCGCAATATCATACAACTTTCGTTCGTAGGGTGAGGATAGTGTGGAATATTTTCTGGGTCTAACACCGAGTGGAATAATATTGTTACGGAACAAAACCAAAGTGGGAAATTATTACTGGCCTCGAATAAATAAAATCTACTATAAGGTATAATTTATAATTTCTGCAGTGTTATTAACTCGCTAAAATTGCTGCCTCTCTTTCTTTCTCTTTAAGTGCTTAATTCTCAAGTAAATTCAGAAGACTGACACAATAAAACAATGAAACGCATAAGAATATGCCAAATATTGATTTTTCTTTCGTATTTCTTTCTTCTTTTTTACGAAATGCCGAAAAGAATGCATTAACTTTCAGGGCAGATACTTCATGCTGAGGGTAAGCGAAAAGAATTCTGAGGAGAGAACGCACGGCTTCGAAACACCATCGAAAGGAGCCTGTCGTCACCTCTGGAAATGTTGCTTGGAACATCAAGCTTTTTTCCGATTAATGGCGACCGGTCCACCGCCCCTTAGTCCGTACTCGCGCTTTCATTCGTACAGTCCTCCATCCACTTTGGAGAAGCACGCGGGTATTAGACGAAACCCACCGCCGTTTCAAAGGACTCCCAGTCGAAGAGCGCAGAGACGAGTCGTCGAGGGTCAAGAGATGGTCGGGTCATTCGTCGAAACACCCGTCACTGTAATCTCAAATCCAAGCAACAATCCATCCAGCGGTAATATATTATGCAATACGCAAAGGCAGATAAACACATCGAGTCCGAGAAGCACGAGAAGCGCGCCGTGGACGCAGAGTCAACCTCGCGGCCTTTACACCTCGTCTAGTCCTCGCTCCGTTCGCTCCGCGGGAACGGCGCCGGCGGTTAGTTAATAATTATATTATACTCGCTCGTATATCAATGACTATGCTTAACCCACTTGCAAAATTGATCACAACATTTACTCAAGAACGCGCGCGCGCGCGTGTGTGTGTGTGTGTGTGTGTGTGTGTGTGTGTATATATATGCGTATGGCTTAAGCCCGGTTTTTTATTTAGTTAACTTTACCACAAGATAATCAGATGGTGAAAAACCGAATCATCATAATAAACAAAAGAATCAACTTGTTGACGGGTCAAGCATATCCGCGCAGTGCATTATAGAAAAGTTTTTAAATTGCAAGCATTTGAATTGCTTAATAAATTGCTGTCTATCGACATAGCTCTTAAGTAGACTTCAACGTCGGAGCAGTTCGGTGGAGAGTCAAAGTTCAGGGGACAGTCATAGTCGAAGTGGTCACCGTAGACGAAGTCATAGTCATAGTCATCGTCGACATAGCAGACATTCCGATTGCGAGTCTGAGCTTTCGAGAGGTTCAGATACGAGATCCGGCCATCGAAAACATCGCAGAAAACACAGAAACTCTCGTTCCTCTAGGTACATTTACATATTAACTTTAGTTACGTAGCGTTGCTCTCTCTCTCTCTCTCTCTCTCTCTCTCTCTCTCTCTCTCTCTCTCTCATCGCGATAACATCTCGTTCTCATAATTGTTTCGTAAATAAAGTACCTCCTTGATGAATTCAAATCACGAACCCTTATAAGCATTAGTGTGTAATTAAGTAATTTGATTATAATGAGTCTTGTTCCCATCAATAACGGGTTCATTAACCTTTCCTACCATTATTATTTTTGCATACATTTTTCCTTAATAAAAGAATTTCTTTTCTATACAGGGGGGATTTTTTCTTTTATACTAGATCAATAAGTGCTAACTTAATCCAAATATATTATTTTTCACAGTAGACACGAGTTGGTAGATTCGGAGCCACAATGGAGAGAGGCGCAGAAACGAAAAGAAGGTGTGCAAAAAGCTATCGTAAGTATCATTATTCGATCGCTACACAAGATTATCTTGTTTATGATATGTGATTAATACACCGTAGGTGAGTCACACGGAACCCAGAAGAAGACACAGAAGCAGACATCGAAGCCCTTCTCAGAAACAACCACTGCCGGATGAACTTCGAAAGTAAATATATTATATATCTCAAATACTACGAATGTTACACCGTCGTAGTTTCACGAGATATTCGCGACAGGCTTACACTGGCCGCAAAAAACAATTTATAGATTTTTTTCTTTAATACGAATTGCAACTTGAATTTACTGAATAAATTTTATCTTTGTTAGTCTATGCTTTCACGAATGCTGACAGTTTATCGATCGTGAGAACGACATTAAAAGTATAACATATTCTTTCAGACACTTGGAATTTGGCCTAATCGACACTAGCGGGATGAGCGAGCAGCAACGTCGAGAGATATCCTACACGGTGGTACAGTCGCAATCTGTACAGCAATCTCCCTTACAGTCTAACAATTCTCGATTGGACGACACAGATTCATCGTCCCTGCCTAGGTACGATGATCTCAAGACGGCCTGCAATCTTCACAACCATCCTCCGCAATTGGAGGATGAGACGGGATCCGTAGTCATTGTTTAGTTACCCTTTCATCCTGATTTCACCCTTGCATGTATTTTTTTTTTTTTATTTATTTCGAGCATGTATATTATCTACTTTAAGCATGCCCCCTATTATTTATTTGAAGCATGATGAATCCTTAATAAATAAGTGAGATTAACTGCTTGTCGCACCTATTTATTTTTACGTCCTAGCTGTGACACTCATTCGCTTCTGGCTGTGTTCCATGGAATTTCAAAGGCGATGCGTGCCGATCGCCTTCATACTGGGGTCATATTTTATCCGTGTGTTTTTATTTCTCATGCATTATGTATATTATAGTATGCGCCATGTATTTGTGTAATAAATGTTGGTAATTTGGGAGGACGGACGATGTCAACGTTCGAGGCTCGGGACACTTCATGTTCCGAGTCTTTCTTATGACATTCCTCGTATATCCCATTCAATTCCCTACACGTACCCGGCGCATCTTGTGCATTTTATTATTTTACAATCTCTTTGTACCTCAAAAAGTTACGCTTTAAAATGCGCCGCGATACAGTTTACAAAACAATAGCGAATGTATTAATGGAGTTTGTGATTTTACATTAATTTTGATAACGTGTGCACCGTAAGAATATAATCGAAGTGTGTGTAAATTAACTGTATGTACTAAAACAAAAAAAAAAGAAAAACACGCATCAATCTGAGTCGAGTACAGTGAACCTACTAGTCGCTAAAACGACTGAGGTACCAAGACTGTCAAGGATTCCCTTTCAGAACTGTCGGATCCATTGGCAAAAGGGAAAGAAGACACATACGGCATTATCGTGATGGAAGTTATAACTTGCTGTCGGCAACGTCCAATCGAGTCGAGGCAAAGTATCCCGGGGCTCGAAACGAATATAGCACGAAGAAGGACTTTTATTATACTCGTAGCAACCGAATGTCAATAGGCAATAATGCAGACAGTGGACTCGGGGAAAGCACACCGCAGGATTTTTCAAGCTGCTGCTCAAGTTCCGCTGACAGCAATAAACCTATTCATGTAGTACGTATCCCAGTTTGCTCGCATTTTTATTATATCATATCTCTGCTAATATTTGTTTTAAAATAAGCAATGATCGAGCGATGCACATTTTACTTTATAATTAGCAATTTAAAAATAATAAAAATTGACGAGTAAACACGAATTTTATATAATTCGTGCTTACTTCTCGTAAACAAAAATTTAATGCTAATTGTAATAAAATCTTAATCACTCATGTTTTTCTATAAAAAAAAAAAAACCACCAAGTGCTTCTATATACAGATGTGTGGCTAAGGTTTCCTACTAGTTTCCTACAAGTTTTGGCTAATCACGTCATAAATGTCTAAGATAGTGGCATTAGAATCGCGCATATCCTTTCCAGCGACACATTTTCGTATATGCATGCTAGTACACGTAATAGCTTTATTTTATGAAGTAATAACATAATGTGGAATGATACTATTCTTCTAAATAGTAGATTAGTAAAACGGTTTTGTTTGGTATAGACACAATTGCAATTAGGGGGAGAGGTACACTATGAATTGCCTTCAAATCAAGAAATCTACCCTCCTGTTGATACTACTCTGGATGCTGTTCTCCAACCCATTATATCGTAAGTGCTTGTTTTTGTGCTTTGTGCTTTTTTCTTACTCAAGTATTAGATCAGATCTCGATTTGATTTGTATCTGGCTTTATTAATATCTAATACATTATGCATTACTTAAGGACACACTTTGGATATAGATGTAAAAAAGTTAATATATTATAAATATTGCAAAAGTTCTCTTTATATTATATCTTTGATAGTATATATCGATAGTATATATTAATTTAATATACACGATGTATATTAAATATATTAATTTAATACACACGATGAATTTGATTGTTTCAGAACGTTAACGAGGAGGCAACGGAGCCACCCAAAACAATCGTAAAATTTTAATACAAAACGAAACAGTTTTATATGCTCCCATTGTACATGTAAAATAACGTTCATACCTTAATTAAAATTGATATTTGTGGATCGTTGGATCATGTGAGGCGAGAAGAAAATATTGTTGAATAAAAGTAATATGTTTTAGTCTCCATGATAAACATATTCCTTACATACAAATCTTATTTAAATGTCTTTGGATGCCATGTGTCTCATGAGATTGCCTATAAACTTTTCCATTTTCTTTAAGTCCTGAGCTATTTCTGTTCTATATTGGAGGCACTGCAAACAGTTTTGATTATTGGTAATATTGTTGATATTCTTAATAATAGAAACAAATACATAAACTGTTTACATTCTTTGATCTTAAGATACATTCCTAAAATTGCTCTCTTACCCGTCGATTATCTGTTAACTTTAGACATAAAACTCCTTTACTGTGACAATACTTCATCGTATATCGAGTCTGAAATACGACAGAAAGAGAAGTTAATATATTACATAAGTAGTTATTCACTCAATTATATTTATACGCAGTACTTTAATTTGCAGTTTTGCATATATCATATGCTACTAGATTACACTTTACTGTTTTCTTTCTTCAATGCTTTCATTGCAATACTAAAAGGCAAAAGAAGATCGAAAGTAATTGATAAAAGAGGAACAAATAGTCTTATACATTATGCAGGAAACATTACAAATTTAAACAAAACCTTATAACAAATACATATATATTTTTGTCATCGCTCTTCAGTTCGCAGTTACGTAAATAATCCATTACAAACTGAATAAGTGGACATTTTCAAAGTGGTACAAAACGTCATGTTGATACCAGAACGTATCAAAGTACACGCTTTTCTGGCACGCGTTATCATAATCTCAAGTTATATATATAATATACGGATCGAGAGATTTTCGTGCGAAGTGTCGAAAGGACAAACAGCATTAAAGATTTTAAAGAAATTACATTAATAGTTTTGTAAAACGTACGTTTATCGGATCCTGCAGATATAACCTCTCGGCGCCTCTTTCGAATTCTTCCCACGAACTCAGATACGTCATTTTTATCACTGATACGACGACGTGTGTTTATTTTCGCGAGTAAAAAGTATACACGAGGTGAATTAATGTTTTTACCAGGTTTCACCAAATAATACTAAAGAGTCATTCACGAAACTATGGGAAATTATTATCGACGACACCGATTGTCAGTGCCGTCATACGTGAATACACGTGTGTACTACATTCGGCATTATTCGGCCACAGAAATGCTTTCTGATGCGTTTTGGAACACAACGATATCACGATCGTCCATTGATCGAAGGAAGTAAATGGTGCACAAATCGACCAATCACAATTAAGAGCGCACTGCCACTTTCAAAAATTCACTACTGGGATTGGCCAATTCAATTGCTGCTAATAGTTTCCTTCGACCAAAACTTCAGTTGATCGTCTCTAAATTGAATCTTTAGCATTGCTCGTTTTAAATCATGACCGACCGAAATGAACCATTTCGGCATTCATCGTAATAATGAATGTTAGATGTCACATGAACGAATGTCGTACGTTATTTCGACGTGAATTCTGTACGTAAGTATATAAAAAAACATAAATAAGGACTCTCAATCTTAAAAACACTTAGAAATTTAGAACAAGGCTAATGAAAGTCTAACACTGATGTAAGAGTGAAGAGTTAGGAGATGTAGATAATACTTAAGTGTGTTGACGGTAGTCTTCATTTATTATATCGAACGTTTCGGCTTACTTTAGAGTGATCTTCAGCGAAAAATAGACTATAATAATACGTTGAGAGTAAGTCACTCGCAGATTGGCAGAAATACAGTAGTCCATACGCTCAACGGGAAAACATTTAAATTGAAAACGACACGTCAAGATCAACTGACACGATATTAATTCGAGGAACGATTTTTGTTAATTTATACCGCATGAAAATTGTGACTCAATGTATTGCGTAACTTCGATGTTTTCCCATTCAATATACGAGTATTTCGATCAATCAATCTATTTCTGATCAATCAATATATTTCTGAAAATCTGAATCCATTTCAATCCATTCTCGTTTGCTGGGAAAGGGAGCAAAAAATATGAAAGGAATGGAATAAGCAAACTTTGGCCATGCAAAAGAAGACAAACAGTCAGGATGCCAGTAAACGAAAATGGATTAAAATGGATTGAAATTGTTTTCTATCCGAATGCGTATTTCAAATAGCGGATACTTTTTTTTGGATTTAATTAAATTAGATTCAATTGAATTGAACTGCATTTTCCTATTCAAAATTTTCAATTGAACAGTATCATTCACAATGCACAGAAAAAGTTATTGTAACATTATTTTTATTTTTAGATTGAAAGGCATAAAGGTATGCTCCACGCAATTTCTATAAACAAAATAAAAATGCACTCAGGATTGAAAAGCATTCATTTTAACATTTTTTGTAAATCATTATATTATATTTCAGAAAATCTGAATCCATTTCAATTCATTTCAATCCATTCTCGCTTGCTGGGATACAACCCCTACGACTGACACAACCCCCACGATACGAAAGAAGGCGATCTCGGTGACGGTGTCGTGCCGCTGATCACTCGTCGAACGTCGAGTCTTTCAGTTTCTTTTGGACCGCCGCGCCGCGAGCGCGGGCAGCGGGATACAATTGACGGCACGATGCGCGTGTGAAAGTTTCGCATATCCGTGCGCACGTCCTCTATACGGAGACGAGAAGCAGAAGGATGTGACAGAGAGAGAATAAGTAAAAGGACAGAAAGGTATACGTATAATTATACGATACGCCAGTAGAGAACACGTAAAAACCGCGGCAACGAACGAGATCGCATTCATTCGCGGTACGAATCTTCTTATTCCCGCGCGTTTAAATATATATATCGTACACGTATTTTTTTTTTTTTTTTTTTGTAAGCCGCGAATTGAAAGAAATACTCCGTATTTTTTCCGTAAGAATAAACAAGCAGGAGAAACGCGTGTCTTTCTTCGTATATTACTTTAATTGTTTTTCGCAACGCCGCGCCGTTACGAGTCTCTCTACATTTTTTATCGCAGTTATTATCTGTTATTTAATCAACGATAGCATAAGTCATTGTCACTTTCTTTCTTTATGTTCCAAGTACTTTAGCTCCTACGGGGCGCAGGTGTGTTGCAATCGGCAACAAATGTCGCTCCTGCAACAGTTCTCCAGGCAACAATTCGGATCTGTTGCGTACGTGCGTTATTAACACCGCACTTAGAAATGAAAGTACCCGCTTCGGATGTGTGATTTCGCGGCAGATCCGTGAATGGCGTGAACATGAATAAATTTGAATCGGCGCGGAAGGACGGGATGTGAGAGACGAAATGAAGCTGCATGGACAAAACTTTTTCGTATCGCTCGATGATTGCGCGAAGCTCTGATTATCACATATTATATAGGATTCATATATTATATAGGATTGCCAATAATAGATAGGGATCATCCGAGGAGATCCCGCGTTTGAAGAACACGATATCATAAACAATTTCTTCAGAAAACGAACGGAGATGTCATCCACACGTTTCGACGTTTGCGAAAGCGATCTTACTCACCCAAACAGAACAACAAGTCACGATAACGTCAAAATGACATTAAAATGAATCGAAAATGACTGAAAAATGACTTGCAATGATCATTTTGGAATGATTTTCATATCATTTTGATATCATAATGACCTGTTGTTCTACTTGGGTAAGGATCTTTCGGTGCCCGATCTCGATCCCGAACCAGATCGGAGGCGAAACGAGACGTGCGCGGTGTGGCCTGCAATAACGATCTTTTTTTCCGTCGACGATCCTAAATGAGAGTGCGAGTGAAAGTCCGCGAGTCAAATATTTTTCGCAGTTTCATTACATTTCGCGGGCTGCATACCGTTGGCGGCGGTGGCGACAGCCATACGTTATTATTGTGCGTGAACCTGCGTATCCACCTGCATTTCTGCTCGTAAATATATGTAATACTATCTTCCCTATATTATACATATATGCACGTATATATACAACCGCCGCCGTAGAAAGGCCGCCGTAGAATTCACTGAGGAGAAAATATGCTAAAATCTTGCGTTATTAATTCTTTCGCGCGACGCTCGTTAACAGTCCGCATAAAGATCGTATTCATTATCGTTGCTGGGACGAAGTTGCTTGCAAGCGATATCATGTGACTCAAGTTTAGAAAAGACTCCATTACGCATATTTATTTATTTTACACGCGCGAAAAAGTATTCTCACAATCGGCGCTGTAACTCACGTACGATATGTATTCACGTAAACGGTGGTTGCAGAAAAAAGCAGCTTTTGCAAAAACCTGCTTATCGTTGTAGAGATTTTTCATTATGACTGATCATACATTTCATCCAGCAGTGAGAAATTAAGGACGAGAATCAATTAGAGAATTATTCGAGAATCTTACAACAGTTGCAAAGATGCTTCTTCTACTAAACGCAACCAGTTAATAACGTGTGTCTTCGCGTCTTTGCTTTTCGCACATCTCGACATTTATATAAAAGATTATGTAAAAGATTATTATACACACGATCTCTCTGTTACGTGACGTTTATACATTAAAATATATACGTGTTTTTCACTTAGAAATGAAAACAGCCGTAATTGAATTTGGGGATTGTCAGTTTTATCCCCGTTTTCTATACCAATGTAGATTGACTTTTTAATCTCAGTTTATCTAACTTTATACCTTTCTCAAATTCTCAGAATTAGAAAAATCGTGCTGATAACGCGAACGTTAATCTGCACTTTGTATAAGAAACGGGCATGGAGTCGACGAAGTTACATAGGAAAAATTTTCGTGAAAGTATAATCACATTAATTTTTGCAGAGACAATTCGAATTCGTTGAAAGTCATTATATTATCGATCGTGTGGGATGATAGCGATTTATGTGTTAAGACCGTTCTACCATTGTGAAGCTTTTATATTAACGTTATGCGATATTTTTAGGGTGCACGGTGTTAATATAAACATTGGCGAACGTGCCGTGCTGATGTGAAAGTGGTTGGCTACTACCTGGCCGTCTGGCTGCTGATGATGGAATGTACAACGCAACGTGCACACTGATCCACACGTCTCCTAGGTAATTACGTACATACGTGGATATACATGTCTCTTACATTATGAGGTAATGCTCATCAATGCTGAATGCTCCGGAATGAACCGGACGTTGATCAGCGTAGAACCGATCGATTTACAGAAAATCGTGATACTTTGAGGATTGGCTCCGAAAAATACCGAGTGGTTGACGAATAATTGGCCGTCATATCGCGATATATATATATATATATATATATATATATATAAGAGTATACGAACGACACGCTCAACGGAATTTAATGTAACAAAGGGCGCTTTCCATTACTCAAGTTGACCTAATTCGAAAGCTATTCTCGCATATCCGCTTTCTCTTCGCCTCGTACGTCACGTTGTCGAAATTTGACACGGCGACGCCGCGGAGAGGAGTCTCTCTCGGAGGCTTGCTCGTGCCGGGGATACCGATCGAGAATCGGGGGGAGGAGGTCACATAAAGTTCGCAATAACATAAGCTCGAAGAAAAAGAACGACGATGACCTCCATTAACGTTCGCTCGTTCGACACGTCCCGAATAATACGTAATAGGTTTTACACTGGCCGATTTCTTACGTGAACCCAACGAATGTGAAAGCGACCTTGAAACGTGGATCATCCGTAGATGATCACACGCGCGTGTACGATAAGATCGTCTGAAGTAAACGTGTATATTAAGAGACACGGTAATGCTGTGGGTTCGGCCACGCGCAACGACGTTATAGTAACGTCTACTTTACGCGAGCGAGACCGCGAGAAGTTACTCGGGGGATAATTGAGATTATTAGATTATTAGATTCGCTTTCGATAAGAGACAGAAGAGACCGATCGCTATGGCCCGTAGGAACCCACGTGGTCCGTCGACGACAAAAGCGCAGCTGATGATCGAGCATGCAGCGATGGTTCCAGCAGCTGGCCTTGGACGAGTTCACGTCCGATCTCTGCGGTAGCGTCGGGTAGCGAAGTCCGAATGCCATCGAGTGCCGTCGGGGGATGCGTCCGAATGCTGGTGTAGCAAGACGAGCGGCGATCCCGCGCGATCCTGGAGACCCTGGAGTCAGGAGTCGAATCGATCCCGAAGGTGCAGAAGTCGATATCAGGCGTGTTTATGCCGCGTCACCTACGATCGAACCTACGTACGACATCGAATGGTATACAAGTCTCCGACTTATATTACATTATCTTGACAAAAATTTAAAAAAATTAGGCATTATGTCGGTTCTTATCTATAATCGAATCAATGCGAGAAAAAAACTTTCAACAATTGCAAAATAAATTCTACTAAACGCGGCCATTCGAAACCGAACGATGATTTTCTCAATTAATAAAATTCTCGATTAATATAAAAATGGAAGTTTGTACTTTTTGTTCGAAATTAAATTTTATGCGAGAAACGCGACATACCTACTTTTTGCCTCCGAATTTGATAGAGATATTCAATGAGATATACATATATGTATTTATCGCATGTTGTCCATCATACTCGACGGAATATAATTTTTCTAGGATAAGATCGGACTTGGCAGACATAGAAATTTCTAAATTCGTGAACGGCATCGCAGGCAGCAAGTCAACAGCGTCGCGCAATAATCCACGAAGATGTTACAGAACGTCGATGAGCTCCGGTTATTCGAGCCATTCGCCGCCGTTGTCAGCCGGCTCGTACTCTTATTACGCGTCAGCGTCTACGAGAGATCCATCGTACGGTAGCCTGGCGGTGATTCACGAGAGTGAAGCGATACCGCGGCCCATTTGGCCTTCCGTCATCTATCATCATACCGAGGATCACAGTGCAGGCGGTTATGAAGGTAATAAACGGAATTAGTGACGACTTCGCGCTGTGTAGTTCACTTTCATTTTTTCACAAAAATCTCGTTTATCGCACGTTAACGCTTTTTGTTTTTATCGTAACAGGTATTTATACATGCCACGTATGCGGCTGCACGTATAAGTATTCGCCACCGCAGCCGCAGCTGACATCATCACCATCAAGAGCTCGTGAGGTGCTACTCGAATTATCCCGAACTCTCAATTCTGTAATAGACGGCAACGTCACGGCGGCACCGGAAGATATCTTGCGCGATATATCGCGCATTGTTACCTTAGAGATCGGCACGAGGAATGACAACGTGTACGAGTACATTTGCCCATCCTGGGCGTTCAGTGATAAGAATCCGGTATCGCCGAGCTGCGTGAAGAACGTACCGTCGAAAGTGAATCCAATCAATTCAAAACTTTGTGTCAGCCCTCGTTGCCTCTACGAGTACAACTCGACGCGATTCGCGCCGTCGCTTAAGAACGACAGGGCGACGAGACGTGAAGGCGATAGCGATATGAGAAACAACTCCAGCTTCGCGAGAAAGAAACCTTGCGCAACAGAGTCCAAGTATTCGGTGAGTACTAACTCGATTGGCGTATAGCTTCTTGAGAAAAGACTCTTCGGATTAACGTTGTTTCATTGATGCTCGTTTCCACCAAATTAATTTTTTTATCTCAGTTTAACTTTCTCTTTCTCTTTTTCCAGTTCTAAGAATTAGAAAAAAAATGAAGAATTAAACGTGGATTAAAATATATTAATTTACATTTTAATGGAAACGGACATAACACTTTGTTCAGCAAGTGTATAATATATATAGTCATGCTGTATGAAGGAACGTATTATTTCAGCAGCTAGTATGCAGCGACGTCGGGTCGTCTATAACCGAAGGAACAATTGCTTCGTTGAGCGCGAACAACTGGAACCATCGCTTAGCTGGAGGCTTGAGCGAGGATTTTGATTTCACGCTCGACGTGACGCAGGCCGAGCGTTTAGGCCGGACGATTGCGAGAGCGAAACGGAAGCGGCAATGGTGCAGAGCCCTGACCACTCTCTTCGGTCTAGTTTTCTTCGTGTTGAGCGTCGTCGTCGTCTCGTTGTCTGTAACGAGGGGTCGTAAGGTGTTTGGAAGCATGTAAGAGTCAAAAGACAAGAGCTTATGCGTGATCTAATTAATATTTATTCGGCTTATAATGCTCTTCCTCGTGAAATTAAAGGAACTGATTAGTCGAATTAACGTCTGGAACATTTTAAACACTTCGATATAGTTCTTACCACAAATATTTTGCGATACGAATTCTCTCGTTCCATTATATAATATACGGCTACTTTTAGTGCCTTATTAAAATATATGTACACGCACACACACGCGCGCGCGCGCGCGCGTGTGTGTGTGTGTGTGTGTACAATTAAACGTAGTGAAACACGAAGAAGATTCTGCAATCACGATATATGGCTGTGACCATGTTCTTTTGCATGCGTATAATGTTAAATATCGTATATAGCGCATCATGATCGTGTTAAATATGAATAAATTAGACTTTTCGCATGGACAGGTGCGAATAACGTTACCAGTTGATTGATGTCGCGCAGAAAGAAACGGGTACCTATGTAGAACAAGGATGACTTTGACTAAACAACTCTAATTAACATAATTGGGCGATTAATTCATAACTAGCAGAAGTGCTCAAAGTGAAAATAATGTACAATTCGTTGTCTTTGAACTGTATATGTTAACTTTGGTTTGCTGGTTTGTTCAAATTTACTGTATGATCATATGTTTGGATCAATGTGATTTAAAGATCGGATAAAATATAAAAAATAAATTTTATAGAAAATGTATTTACATGGTAAATATATTTTACATTAATAGACGGAGGTCTATTAATGTAACAAAACAGGACAAAATTTTTTAAATAAAATATTAGTAAGAAGGTAAATTACTTTTTGGATCAAATAAATTCGAACAGACCAGTAGAGTTAAGCAATTAAAAATAATAATAATCCACGTTAATAAAATATTATTTGATAAAGTTAATAATTATCGATTATTTTTTAATATTCTGTATGTTATTGAATTGCTCACTAAAATTTCTGACTAAATTTTGTCGTTTCTGATCCAATCTTTTTGTTTTTCATATATTTTAAATAACAGAATATAATTCTAAATTGAGAAAATACAAATATTACTTGACAAATTATTCTTTAATATTTTTTCAAGTTAATCAGAGTTTAGTCGGAGCCATTCCAAAACTAGCTAGTAACTTGCGCGCGTCAATTTGACACTAGTCCAAGCACTCCAAGAGTTCAAGTTAGTCGCGCTCAGCGCGGCGCTGCGAGCGACAGGCGAAGGAAGTCGAATAATGGATATGTGTCGTGTACTTCTGCGTATGTGTTGGTATATGTTTGATTGTGTATCACGATCGCGAGTGATAGATCGAGCGAATTGTCGAAAGGGTGAAGCGTTAAGATTAAAGAGACGAGTCAACATTCCAAGTAATCATCTCTAGTAATGATTTCTAGCTCGATACACGATAATATCTGCTTTTAATCGACATATTTTCTGTATCCGTTAAGAACATTCCAGATTTTTTACTCTACGATCTCATCCAGGTTATGCTCATATCGATCTCTCTCATATTTGTCCGATTGTTGTCTCGTGGAGGCTCGATATTCCTTTTCTCAAGGTAAGAGAGAATAATCCTGCTTTTCATATCTTCGAAAGTGAACATACGTAGCAAACTCAGTAATGATAAGAAACAAGATGATTGTGCGATCTACGAAGCTGCAGCTGTGCGCTTCGAGATGAACATTTGACATTTCTGTCCTTTCTCTGCTCTTTCTCTCTCTCTCTCTCTCTCTCTCTCTCTCTCTCTCTAAAAATTGCTTCTCTATAATTTTAGATTATAAAAATAAGTTAGATACAGAATGGTGTGCATGCCATGCTTCGCGTTTCCTATAATGCTAATAATATGGAAGTTCCTTATACAACCGTTGATCAAGTGGTGGTTGAGAAGTAAAGGACAGGAGGTCAAGGGAGATCAGCTATGTCCAGATTTGATAAAAGAATGCAAAAATGGGACATGTACTCTATCATTGAAAGATAAAAAAGATGATGCGGTAAAAAAAAATGAATGAAGAACAGTTGAGTTGGAATATGCTTTTCCTTGGGATATGCAGTTTGCTCAATCAACATGGGTTACTTCAACATTTATGTTTCTGTTAAATAATCAGAAGTTAATAATTTAAATATATTCTATAGACACAATTACAAATCACGCTTAAGACATTAATCGATCTGTATTCAACTAAAAATAAGATAATCTGTTGTTTTAGTTAATCGAACTATGTATGTTCTCTGTATATGATGATATTTAATGTCAACGCAATAAAACATTAAATCATAAAGATTAACTATGTGATTTGTAAGGATCTTCTTGTTATAACATACATGGACATGTCAAGATTTGTTAAATGGAATATGATTATCTTATGTATAATAGAATAAATATATAATTTATATAAACGTTTTCATATCATTTTACTCTAATATTATTTTTATTTAATTTATGATTTGAAGCTACAAAATTTTAAGGAATGTCAAAATATTAAAACAACATAGCAATGCTTTTATTTACAAATAATTTTCTTAATTCTTAATACTAAATTCCAATAACGCTGGTCAACTTATGACATTGAATTTACAACCTAATATTATATTTGTTTCATATATATGTTTATTTGTAACGTGATATTTCAATTAAATTTGTACTTCAGTCGGCGATCTCTCTGTTTTATGATGTATGAAAGACAATCATAGGAAAAGTATAATTATATTATAAAATACACAGTACAATAGAATATAATTGTATTATAGAGATGTGCTAATTTATGAAATATTCATAAATTGTAAATTTAATGTCAAATTATTACATAATCTATTCACAGATATTTTTATAGAATTATCAAAACATTTATTATCTCTCTTTTTTTTTGTAATTCACCAATTAATAATTATAAGTATTTATTCTGAAAATATAATTCTTATACCTTATCCTCTTTTTAATGATAAATTTAAATCTATAGGAACTTTGAAAAATTTACTCTAAAAATCATCTGCAATAAATTTTGTAATTTTGAAAGTTTTTATATAAAAAGATTAGAGGATTTATGTAATATATATAAATTTATTATAAAATATTGTCATCTTTTTAACATCTAAATAATTATATCAAATTATAATTTAATATTATATCACATAATAAAATATTAAAATTATGCATGTATATTAATATTTTATATAAAAACTTTTCCGTTGTATTTATTTAATTCTCTAAAAAAGCGTTTTCCATCTTTACATAAGCATGTATCAAACACTAGATAAAAAAAGATTATATATTCTAATAAGATAGCAGTTGTAAAGTTAATTAATAACTCGACTTTGATGAATTTAATTTCACTTATAACAAGTATGAAATAAAGAGCATATTGAGTTCAGGCCTTCTGTCTCAAATACAAAAAAAATTGATTTATATCCTAATGAGGTAGTAATCACGAAGTTAAAAAAGATCCTTAAAATATTGGTAAATAATATTTAAATCATTAAAATTTACTCAAGTTTTATAAGTATATTATATATAAGTATCAAATAAAAGAGAAACATGTCGAAAATTTAAGAGTCTCTGATTAAAATATAAGATAAAAAAATATTCTAATAAGGTAGCAGTTGTGAAATTCATCTAAAAAATTAAACTATTCATAAGTCACCAATACCTAAATTATTGATCGACTTTCTTAAGTTTCTTATTCGACTTTCTTAAGTTCAACATCATATATAACTGTTGAATTAGGTGGAACTTTTAATCCATAACCTTCATTTCCATATCTGTAAGAAAAATATAGCATTAATAAGTTTATATATTTTCAAAATGTGACCGGACATTGTACTTGAATAAAGAAATTTTTTAAAAATTATGAAACTGACTTAATGCGAAACGAATTGGAATGTATGAGTAAAAAGCATAAGGAAAAATGCTATACATACGCCATATTGGATGGTATTATAAGACGACGTTTTTCATCAATTTTCATTCCAACTACTCCTACATCCAAGCCTTTGATCACGAATCCTGCTCCGAGTTTAAATCTAAAGCCAAGTTGTTCAATTCGATCAAACTCTTTCAGCATTTGGTCTCGTCCGGTCTTCACATAAGCTACATAATAAATTGTGACGTATTTGTCCATTTCTGCGATTTTGCCAGTACCAGGTCTTAACTCTTGCACTTTCACACCACCCTTTATAATTCTTATATCTTGCTGCTTGCTATTCTTTTTTGTTTCGTCAGGATCTTTTTCCTTCGATTTTTCCTCAATTATTTTAGCCTTCTGCTGTTTCTTTTTTATTTCCTGCTTTTCAGATTCTTTCTTTCTTCTTTTTTGGATCTCACTCTTATTTTCATTTTTTCTTCCATTTTTCTGTCTATTTTTTGACCTTAATTGATATATTGGTGATTTATTTTCTTTATCATTTTCTTCATCATCGTCATTACTTTCCATAGAAGAATCCTCAAAAGAAATCTCAGAAAAACTCTCAGAAGATTCCTCAGACGGAACCTTAGAAGGATTCTCAGAAGAATTATTATTAAAATTAATATTTTCATTGCAATGAAGCAATGACCTTGCGCGCTTTGTTTCTTCCGTTCTGTTGTTATCTTTCATAAAGCTTTTTCTTTTTAAGTTTAAAATTTGAAAAGGTATTCTATCTTCTTGGATTTGTTTCTTGTTAATAATGTATGGTGTAACTATCCAGTTTTCCTCGATTTTCACTGTTGTATATTTATACAAATATTCAGTTAGTTCTTCTAGACAAGTCCCTTTATTTTTTAGCTCATTTACTTTTTCGCCTAAGATGTGCCAAGATAAAGTTGTTATCCAGTTTGAGTTAAATGGATGTTTTATCGAGCCAATTCTGTAATGTCCAATTAAATGAACGTAACTTCCACCGTTGCATGAAAGGGTTACAACAGCTTCCTTTGGCACAAGAACGTCGAGTTGAACTTGCCATGGTTTATCCTTGTGTAAAGTACAAAGCAGAAATTTTTTCCGCTCATAAGCCATCATTACTTGTATCGGTCTGTCACCTGCAAAGAAGGCAATGCGCGCGTGATTTTCAAGCATGTAAACAATTCTCAGACGTAGGACATAATTCGCTATGTAAATAAAACACATTTGATACAACGCACATTTAATTTTAATCTTGACCTACTGAGCAACTTGTAATACTACTCTCTGTTAAAATGTAGCGTTAGAACGCGTCACATATTGTATTTGACCATTTTAAACGTACATGAAAGCGCATAGAAAGATATGTCAAGACAGAGGCGGGAATTAATGGAGTTTACAGACTTTACGGGGGTGAATTTCAAGTATGCCGTCGCGAGGTTTCACGAAAAAGTTCAGAAGTTGTGTCTTACTAGTACTTGTGATATCCAAACTTGCCATAGTTATGCGAAAAGAATCTTTCACGAATTGCGAGTATTTATTCCCCGGTTGTAGAATCATCGCTGTAACATGAATAAGGACATTGATTGAGTGAGACGTTTCGTCGCAATATTCATGGATTTTTTATTAGTATTTACAATTGAGAAGGAAATCATCTTACCCCAAAATGTTGACATTATGTCTCCAAATTACAACGAAAAACTGGTCAGATCAGAGAAAGAAAGTAAAATCCGTTCGCAACAGCTTCTAGCAAACGAGTATAGTTGATCACAATCACTACGATCAGCAAGATCGAAGTAGATTCGAATCTATTTTATACGTGCTTCCATCGATCGAGAGAAATTCTGCGCGTGCGTAGGAGCGTCAATTCAACAATGCCTATTTTCTTCTTGTATTAAGATGGAATGCGTGATACATCTCGTGTATCTGGCTTCCTTAACCTTTTTTGTTATTCTTTATTCGTTATTTGATTTTTTATTTTGTTATTCTTATAATAATTATTTTTTTATATTGGATTGGTAAGAAAGTAATTGCGTTTTTTAAAAGGGTTCTATCAGTAAAAACTGCAATGCAATTACTTTCTTGCCAACTAATATAAATATAACTTGATAAAGTTTCAGCTTTAAGAATCTCTTTTTTTATGGGTTCGACAATTTTTAACGGAGCAATTAAAGTCAAAATGATTCTTGTATTTAATCCGCGATAACTCAGTACCAAAAATCGTAGGAATATTAAAAAAAAAAAAAACGATTTTGTAGGTAAAACTTTCACGTTAGGTAGTCGAAAATTTTCTCAAATTTATTTTGGACACGTTACAAACCCATAAATTCAGATTTTTAGAAATATTGATTTACGAATGTTAAAATGAATGCTTTTCAATTCTGAATGCATTCATTTTTATTCATTTATAGGAATTGCGTGGGGCATATCTCTATGCCTTTCAATCTAAAAATAATATTAGCTTTTTCTATGCATTGTGAATACTGTTTAATTGAAAATTTTGAATAGGAAATGCAGTTTTTCAATCCAATTGAATCTAATTGAATACAGTTGAATTCAATTAAATCCAAAAAAAGTACTCGCTATTTAAAATACGTATTTGGACAGAAGAAAATTTCAATCCATTTTAATCCATTCTCGTTTGCTGGGTCTCGATTGTGTTCCAAAATTCATTGCCAGCGCTAAAAATCTATATAGGCTGCGTTCCATTTTCATTATGAGTACTGAAAATTTATATAGTTCACTGCACTATACGTATCATATTTTCGACAGCAGTGAATTTTGAAAAATACAGCTCTTGTAGCGCTTTCCAGTTCGCATGGCTTAAAATTTGAACGATTAATGTCCGTTTCTACCAATGCAGATAACTTCAATCTCGACTTCAACTTTTCATCTCTTTTTTTAATTCTTAAAACTAGAAAAAGATGAAGAGCTACTTGAACCAAGATTAAGTTTACATTGATAGAAACGGCATAGACTCGTATGTCGAATGAATATGTAAGCAGATTACTCAGTTTTGTAATCTCGGTTTTATACTTACTCAATCTTTATCTTTTTCTGATTTCTAGACCTATAACAGGATAAAAAGTAAGGTTAACCGAGATTAAAGTTAAAACTGTATGTACATTGTTAATTAATTGTTATTTGTTTCAGGTTTATTCACGCGGATGATAACAGCGTGGAAAAAAAATGCAGTTTTGCGATATATACGCGACGATAACATTGCGTTATCAATATATGTACGCTTTACTTATGTGTGAAGCATCTATATAATAGTCATCATGAATTTAACTCAATACTGCGTTATTAATCTAGCTAAAGATTTTGTAAGCTGTAATTAAACAATTCCATGGATCGATTTAATCGTCGATTAAATTTATCGGATTTTAGTCGCCCTCTGGCTCTGACGTATGCACGTATAAATACAGCTGACTCCTCTAACGTGGATTTCACACTCCGTACGACATCCAATGAGAAGATTCGTTTCCTAGGAACAAAAATGGCGTCCTAAACAATTCCTAGGATCCACGCGCTGCCATTGGATGTCTCGCGTATCCTTGTACTTGTCGAAATACTTGTCGGTTGCCAAACTGCCGCGAAGTGAGAGAAGGAAAGGGAGCGAGTGCGAGCGAGCGAGCAAGTGAGAAGGAAGAATGAAAGAGAGAAAGAGAGTGAACGCAGCGGCACTGCGCATCGCAGTCAGTTTTGTAGGCGCGGCGTGATAGGTGGTTCGTACAATCTAGTACGATCCTTGGAACCTAGGGATCGCGCCCGCGTTCTTTCAAGCTCGAGCAAGCTCGAGTGGCTCGAGTGGCTCGAGTAGTCGAATAGTCGACTGAGCTCGACGACCTAGGTAGGGCCTTTTCATCTCGAGGCGCAAACGGCAGAGTCCAGCGCAAATCCATCGCCGCCGCGCGCGAGCGCGCGTATAGTGTATATACCCACGCAGACGGGATGGCGTCCACGAAGAGGAAGCAGGACGAGAGGAACTTGAAGACGCTCCGCGAACTGGTCTCGCAACCGGGCAACAAGGAATGCTTCGACTGCAATCAGCGCGGGCCGACTTACGTCAACATGACGATCGGCTCTTTCGTCTGCACCTCTTGCTCTGGTATGCTGTAAGTAGCTCCGGCTCCAATAAGTTCTCATCGCCCTCTCTCTCTCTCTCTTTCTCTCTCCCTTCCCCCCCCCTCCTGTTACTTCCCCGACCTCGTCGATGTGTTTCCTCGATCGCGTGCAGCTTAACCGCTATTAAGTATGCCCTTCTCACTCCCT